CCATGTAGAGGGCATTGCAGTAGTCCAAACGAGAGATAACAAGAGTTTGGGTGACTGTACGGAGGGCATCCCTGTCTAGGAAAGGGCGTAACTAGCGCACCAGGCGAACCTGTGCAAAAGCCCCCCTGGTCACGGCCGTCAGATGGTCCATTAAGGACAGCCGCGAATCCAGGAGGATGCTTAGATTGCGAGCCCTTTCAGAGGGAGTAAGCAATTCCCCTCCCATCAATATTTGAGGGGTTGCCATAAAGAGGAAGGGGTCAAACTATTTTGCAAAGCACCAGACAAGGAATAACGGATGGAAACTGACCAAGGAGAGATTCAACCTAGAAATGAGGAGAAGTTTTCTGACAGTGAGAACAATCAACCCATGGAACAGAAGTTGCCTTCGGAAGTCGTGGGAGCTTCATCACTGGAGGCTTTCAAGAAGAGACTGGACTGCCATCTGTCAGAAATGGTGTAAGGTCTCCTGCTTGGGCGGGGGGTTGGACTAGATGACCTACAAGGTCCCTTCCAACTCTGTTAATCTGTATCTGTATCTATCTGTAAGCATGGGCTTGCAGTTGTTCAACAATCTATAAGGGGTAAAGGGAAGACAAAGACCCCACCTTTCCCCCTTTTATCCTCAGAAGCAGTTCTAGGAGACATTTCTAGGCCAGGATGCTAATTTTTTTCAAGAATGAATGCTGAGCTTTCAGTGACACCCTTAACAGAATAGTAGAGTTGGAAGGGACCTTGGAGGTCTTCTAGTCCAACCCCCTGCTCAAGCAGGAGACCCTATACCATTTCAGACAATTGGCTCTCCAATCTCTTCTTAAAAACCTCCAGTGTTGGAGCATCCACAACTTCTGGAGGCAAGTTGTTCCACTGATTAACAGGTCCCATTGACAGAAGAATTCTCCTTAATTCTAGGTTGTATCTCTCTTTGTTAAGCTTCCGTTCATTACTTCTTGTGTTGCCCTAAGTTGCTTTGAAGAATAGGTTGAGCCTTCCTCCTCTCTGTCCCTCAGCTTCCAGGAATTCCCTAGATGTTTTGCTCTTGGTTCGGTTTACGGTGGTCAGAGTTTCCCAGCTGAAACTATGCTTAAGTCTACCCTGTGAAATTAAATCAGATTTTATCCTGTCTTGTGATTGTTAGTCGGTGTCCATGGATGCCCACTGCTAATCCTCTGCCTGTTTGGGTTATATAGTGACTCTTACAATCCATATACTGTCTATTGTAGATGACTCCTGTTATTTTCTTGTGGGCTTGCTGCAGAGGTGAAATGCTCCTGGTTCGGACCGGATCGCCCAATCCGGTAGCAATGGAGGCGGGTGGTTCGGAGAACCGGTAGCAAAAATCCCTGCCCTCCCCCCATGCCCAGCTGAGCCGCACAGTCATCAGAGGCTTTTTTTTTTTTTTACTTTTAAAAGCATTTTTTCTGCAACCTCTTTGGCCAAAAAATGCTTTTAAAATTTAAAAAAAAAAAAAAGCCTCTGATGATCGCGCGGCTCAGCTGGGATCCTCAAAGGCTTTTAAAAGAAAAAAAGTCTCTGCCGATCAGGCAACTCAGCTGGGATCGTCAGAGCCTTTTGAAAGCATTTTTTTGCAACCTCTTCGCTGAAGAGGTTGTAGAAAAAAATGCTTTTAAAAGCATTTGAGTTGAGCAAATGAGCAAAAGCAGCTGAGTTGCCTGATCGTCAGAGGCATTTAAAAGAAAAAAAGCCTCTGCCGATCAGGCAACTCAGCTGGGATCGAAGAGGTTTTGCAACCTCTTCGCTGAAGAGGTTGTAGAAAAAATGGTTTTAAAAGTAAGCAACAAGTAAATTTGGCCACGCCCACCCAGTCACATTACCTATACCCTTTCAGATAGTTGTCCAGTCTCTTCTTAAAAGCCTCCAGTGATGATACACCCATAACTTCTGGTGGCCAGCTGTTCCACTGGTTAATTGTCCTCACTATTAGGAAGTTTCTCCTCAATTCCAGGTTGCTTCTCTCCTTGATTAGTTTCCATCCATTATTTCTTTATCAATCCAATATTTATTTATTTATTTATTTATTTGTTTAAATTTCTATACCACCCTTCTCCAAATAGGACTCAGGGCGGTGCACAGCCTAAGTAAAAACAAAGCATACAAAATTTAAAAAACAGTATTAAAATAATTAAATATTCTGGCCGTAAATTAAAACAACCCAATTTAAAATCAATTTAAAATTTAGCTCAAGCCAGCCCATATGCTCAGGGACGGAGCCTTAGATTACTCTTGGAGTGCTAGTAGGATGCACGATGAGCCACTGGCAGCCAACATGCACCTCCCTGCCCCCCGAGTTTTCCGCTGTGCTCTTAAGACCCTGCTCTTCCGACAGGCAGGGCTAGCTTCATAAATTGAGTTTTAAATTTGGAATTCTTAAATTTTGGGGGTTTTTTAGTTAATTGGCCTTAAATGTAATACTTTTAATAATTTTTAAATTTAAATTGTGATATTTGTATTGTGTTTTTACCTGGCTGTACATCGCCCC